CGGCGGCGCCTGCACCTTCTTCGAGTCTTCGTCGTCGGAGTCGAGGCACGAGAAGATGTTCTTGGAAGCCTACGCCCATGACGCCGTCAATGCCCATTCATGCGCAGCCGCCGGCGGCCTCCTCAGCTGCCAGCGTCGTCGACGGGCCTGCTTACCATGGTAGTAGGTGAAATTTCCTGAGTGAAACTACGGCCAACGATATCCCGAGGCCAGCTCTCACTTCCCCACCACCAACCGCCGAGCCGGCGTGCCGCTTTTCATTGGCTGAAAGTCCACCAATCCGAACCGGCGCGATCCTAAACCTGTCACAATGCATACCTGCCACGCAGGCCGCCGCGTGTGTGTGGCGCTCCCGCCCAGAGGCCATGGCGGTCGCATTCCTTCCAGATACAGGCTGCCATACAGATATGGTTGCAGACGTGTGCGCTATCATCGACGGGCGCCAGTGCGTTGATGGAAACGTGGCAATGCGGGTTCTTTTCCTGGGTACAAAACCTCTCAAAACGTATGCAATGATAACCGTGGCAATTGACTGGCGCGACTTCAACCGCAGAGAAAGGGAGAAGGTTGCTTGCGTTCTGGGTACTCGTGTACGGCAAGAGCTCCGTGCGTTGTTCGCGGCGATGGCTTGCGCTTCGATCTCACCATCGACGCCTACCGCAGCGAGCCACCGCAGCAGACGCTAAGCAATGCAAGCAGCACCGTAGGAATTGAAGTGGTGAGAGTGATCCGAACTCGACCACGAAAAACGCAGCCAAGCTTTCCGGCCGACATTGCAACTGGATAGCTTTAATGCACAGAGTGTAAATGAGCAGAATACGCAGCACAGGATGAATGCATAACGTTAGTACGCTTGGGCAGATGTCCTCGACAGCCTAACTGCGGTTTAGAAACCACGGGTTTTAGATCGCATTTCGCCCTCCATTGCCGTGTGCATCATCGGCGTCAAAAACACGAATGACCAATATCATGTTTGCTGACGTCCTCTTCATGTGGCGTTGGAAAAAGAAGCTGAAGAAATATGCTTCAGAACGGCCTTGAGCGAGCCTGTAGTACTAGTAAGCATCTGCGTGCAAATAGGGTTGTGCGTCTAGTACTACCGTACCGAGCCGCAAGTGTACACCGGTAACCCATGGCTGGCAGCTATGGCTGGCCCAACTACGCCAGTCGAATGACACGAGTCTACCTTCATTCCAGGTGGAGCTCCATGCATCATTCCGTAAAAACCACGATGGTTCCCCGAGCACCTTGATGCCCGATCGTCTCACGTGTCGTCGCTCGACGCAGTAAAATATCAAGGAGAGGTATCAACCATTTGGGCATCAACCTACCATCGACAGTAACGGTACGCCCATCACTCCATCACTCCATCGCATCACACGCCCCGCCAATGCTCCAAGCTCGTACTACAGCACGTGGCCATAGACATGCGGCCGCAGATCTTGCCGCGCTAACCTTTCACGCTACTTGCCGCTACCGGGTATGCTGTTATTAGTGTGCTGCATGCAGCCTCCACTCACTCTGGGTTCGCCTCAGCAAGCGCATGGTGCTGCCGTGGAACGTCGACGACGTCCCATCTTGCCTTTTGTATGGTATACACTGCGCAAGGTCCATGGCCGGTCAGGACGTCCGTGACAGTTCGATTGCTTGCGGTCGTAGCAGCAGTATGAGCCGATTCTGGTCGACGAGTCTGCACGATGAGGTCGCGCCGCTGCTGCGGCTCGCGCTGCCGATCTTCGTGTCGCTCATGAGCTTCTTCGCGCTCTCAATGACGGAGCTCATTGTCGCTGGGCACCTCGGCACGACCGAGTTCACGGCGGTTGCGTACGCGCAGCTCGTGCTCGACTTCACCTTGATCATCTTCACGCAAGGCTTCAACAAGGGTCTCGACGCGCTCGCGTCGCAGGCGTTCGGCGCCAAGAACTTTGCGCTCATCGGGCGCTACACGCAAACGTGCTGCCTCTGCTTGACCTTGGCCTGCGTCCCGATCGGTTGTATCTGGTGGGTCTGCGCCGACGCCCTCCACGTCGTCAAGGGCGTCGACCCGAGAAGCATCGAGCTCGCGCGCCTCTACGCACGCGTCTCGATCCTCTGGCTCTGGCCGCGGCTCATGTTCCAGGCCGCGACCGCTTTTTCCAAGCGCAGCAGATCGTCTTACCCTCGGCCGTGTGCTCGCTCGCAGCGGTGCTCTTCAATGCGCTGCTTAGCGTCTTCTTGGTCCACGGTGGCTTTGGCATGGCTGGCCTCGGCTTTGTCGGGTGCCCGCTCGCGATGGTCGCGACGCAGTCGCTGCGGCTTGTGGGGTTCGTCACGTACATGACGCACCTCCGCGGGCTCCACCGGCAGGCGTGGAGCTGGAGTTGGCACTTTCTCGACGCGCGCTACATCAGGACGCTCGTGGGCATCGGCGTTCCGCTCATGCTCGGACAGGCCTTCGAGAACGCGCAGTTTCAGACCATGGCGCTCTTCGCGTCCATGTGCAGCGAGGTACACACTTGGCTCCCGCGTGACCATCCCACTTTTTCGATGACGGCGACTGTTAGATATCGCTGGACGCGCACAACGCGACGATGCAGCTCGTCTTCTTCCTCACGTCGCCCATTTACGGCCTCACGGACGCTGGCGTGAACCGCATGGGTATGTACCTCGGCGCGGGCGACCCTATTAAGGCCAAGGACGTGAGCCACTTGTTGTTTGCGTGCATTTTCGGCATGTCAGCCATCATCGCGCTGCCGTGGATGCTCTCGCGGCACGTGATTGGCCGCGTCTACTCGAACGACGCCGCCGTGCACGAGGCCATGGCCACGATCACGGTCGTCGCCGCCGGCGGCTACATGGCGCTCTCCGTGTTCTACTACTCGATGGTAATACGACGACGCTTGCACCATCCATACTACAGTCGCGTAGGCCACGCTGCGCGCACAAGCCAAGGCCGTGCCCGTCATGCGTACGTTGCAGGCCATTCTTCATGCAACAGGACGGCTCATGCGCGGTGGGTAGTGGCGTTCGTTTGCGGCGCGTGGCTCCTCGGCGTCCCGTTCGCGTACGTGCTTGGCGTGCACTTGCAGCTCGGGCTTCTCGGCGTCTGGATCGGCATGGCGCTTGGGTACTCTGCGACAACAGCGATCGGATTCTACCATGCGCAGCGCTCGGACTGGGCGACGGAAGCCGCCAAGGCCGTCGACCGAAGCGCCAAGAAGCCGCACCACGCGGCCGAGACCACCAAGCTCGTATAATAACAGGTCACCATGCACGGACGGCGCGTGTACATAAAGAACTCGGTACTAGTACACAATTGCTTCGAGGAGGAAAAGACGTTCTCAGATGCCGGCGTCGCAGATGTCGCCCCGCCGTCAATGTCATCCAAGTCCAAAGCTACTCGCGTGCGACTATCGTCGAACGAGGAGGAAGAAGATCTGTCCCGGTGCTGTCCAGCATCGTGCAGAAGGTATTTTGCCGTCTGTTCGACGTATATACGTATAGCGAGATGCCACAACCCACTTCAACCACCACGACCTATCCCTGGTCGCTTTCTGATTGGTCAAAATGCGTCGCTTGACGTGGACGCACCCAATCCTCAATCCTGCATGCACAGCAATATGTACCGTGTACGACCGATCTTGGCACCTGCGTCGTCGCCGATTGTGATGCGATCGCGTCGCCTTTGCCACCTAGAGAGCGCCCGAAGCACACCTCGGTGGCGAGTTCGGAGGCACTACACGACTACTAGTCCCCTGCAACGGAAGGTCTTTCTGTAAAAAAATGGGCAGTCGGCAGGACCGCTTGGCGCTCGTGTCTCATGCTTTCCAACTTGGGTACACTGTCAAATGGTGGCGCCAAAAAACCAGGTTGCACCTACGCTCGGTGCGTCCCACACTCGAGGCAGTGGCGCAGCATTCGATCACTTTTGGGCTTGCACCAACATGGAAAAACCGTTCTCGCGCACCGACGAGCTCAAGGCCCTCGCGCGCCTCGCGACGCCGATCCTCTTTTCGAACCTCGCCATGTTCGGCATGTCGATGACCATGCTCATGGTCGCGGGGCACCTCGGATCGGCGCAGCTCACAGCGGTCGCGTACGCCCAAATGCTCTTTGACATTACGATCCTCATCTTCGCCTCCGGCTTCATCGTGGGCCAAGCGACGCTCTCGGCCCAAGCCTTTGGCGCCAAGAACCTCGTCTTGATCGGCCGCTACTGCCAAATGAACTGTCTTTGCGTCACGCTCGCGTGCATCCCGATTGGCGCTCTCTGGTGGTTTGCGGGCGACGTTCTCCGGGTCGCCGGCATCTCGCACGAGACTGCGGCCTATGCGGCCCAGTACGCCCACTACTCGACGCCGTGGCTCCTCCCGCGACTCCTCTTCCAGGTGCTCAGCGTCTACTTCAAGTCGATGCAAAACGTCATGCCGGCGGCCGTCTTTGCCGTCATCTTCACCATTCTCAACGCCGGCCTCAGCGTCGCCTTGGCCCACGGCGTGCCTGCTATCGGGCTGCGCAGCTTTGGCCTCGCGGGTGCGGCCGCGTCCATGACCTTTACGCACTACGCGCGGACGCTCTCGTTCGCGTATTACATGTTCCAGGTCCGCCAGCTCCACGCGACGTCATGGAGCTGGGACCGGTCGTTCCTCAATGCCAAGCAGTACTTTGTACCCATGGCCAAGGTCGGCGGTCCCATGATCATCGGCCAGTTTGTCGAGACGCTCCAGCTCCAGACCATGTCGATCTTTGCGGCCATGACGAGTGAGGTCGCCCTCGGCGCCAACAACTCGATGATGGAGCTCATCTTCTTCCTCACGTCGCCCATCTACGGCATGATCGACGGCGGCTCGACGCGCATGGGCATGCATCTCGGTGCGGGCCATCCCCAAGCAGCCAAAGCCACGAGTCTGCTCGTACTTGCGGGGATCGTGACGCTCTCGGTTGGCATCGTGGTGCCGTGGTTCTGCGCGCGCAACGTGATTGGGCACTTGTTCTCGACCGACGCGCATGTGATCGCGACCATGACGTCGATCAGCACGCTCGCCGCCGTCGGCTACATCATCATGTCGCTCTTCTACTACGCCATGGTACCCGCATCGATCCTCGTATCCGTCTTGTATATTTATGAAAACCTGTCTAGGCAACGCTGCAGGCGCAGGCGCGGACACTGCCCATCATGGGCTCGTTCCTCATTGGCGCGTGGGTCGTTGGCGTCCCTGGCGCATACGTCTTTGGGTTTCCCGTCGAGATGGGTCTTCTCGGCATCTGGATCGGTATGGCTGTGGGCTACTTGGTCACGACCGTGCTCGGCGTCTACTTTACGTGCACGTCCAACTGGGAGAAGGAGGCGAAGAAGGCCGCGGCGCGCTGCAAGGCCCGCGGCGGCGATGACACGGAGTTTGTCGTGATCGAGATCGCGCCCAAGTCGACACAGACGCGACTGCCGATGCTCGTCATCGAGGAGAGCGTCAAGGGCATGGACTTTCCGACACCCAACATCGTGCGCTACGAACACTCGTAACGCGAGTAACATACTAGTAGAGGAGTTAATATATTTGGACAATAACGTCCATCGATTGGAACCAACGGCAAACACGTGCCACGATCCGGATGCAACCGGAAAGATTGCGCCGGTTGAGCACAATAAGAACACAGAGCACGACCGATGCCGTTCTCGGCGCGCAACGAGATGCGCGTGCTGTTGCGCCTCGCGACGCCGATCCTCTTCTCGAACCTCGCCATGTTTGGCATGTCGATCACGGTCCTCGTCGTCGCGGGCCACCTCGGACCCGCGCAGCTCACCGCGGTCGCGTACTCGGAGATGCTCTTTGACATTACGGTGCTTGTGTTCGCATCCGGCTTTGTCGTTGGCCAGGCGACGCTGTCGGCGCAAGCGTTTGGCGCCAAGAACCTCACGCTCATCGGTCGCTACTGCCAGATGAACTGCCTCTGCGTCACGCTCGCGTGCATCCCGATCGGCGCGCTCTGGTGGTTTACAGGCGACATCCTTCGTTTTGCGGGGGTCTCGCACGCGACGATCGAATTTGCGAGGGAGTACTCGCACTACTCGATGCCGTGGCTCCTCCCGCGACTCCTCTTCCAGGTGCTCAGCGTCTACTTCAAGTCGATGCAGAACGTTATGCCGGCCGCTGTCTTTGCCATCGCGTTTGCAGTGCTCAACGTCGGCCTCGTCGTCGCATTGGTGTTTGGCCTCCCGCACACGAGCTTTCGCGGATTCGGGCTCGCGGGCGCATCGATCGCACTCAGCCTCACGCACTATAGCCGCCTCGTTGCGTACGTCATCTACATGTTCGGCCATGAAAAGCACCACGCATTGGCGTGGAGCTGGGACCGTTCTTTTTTGAACCGCCGACGGTATCTCACGCCGATGCTCCAAGTGGGTGGCCCCATGGTCATTGGCCAGCTCGTCGAGAACCTCCAGCTTCAGACGATGGCCATCTTTGCGGCCATGACGAGCGAGGTCGCCCTCGGCGCCAACAACTCGATGATGGAGCTCATCTTCTTCCTCACGTCACCCATCTACGGCATGATCGACGGCGGCTCGACGCGCATCGGCATGTACCTCGGCGCGGGTAAGCCCCGGGCCGCCAAAGCCACGAGCCACTTGGTGTTTTATGGTATTTTTGGGCTCTCGGTGGTCATCGTGATCCCGTGGCTGTGCGCACGCAAGGTCATTGGCAAGCTCTTCTCGAGCGATCCCGCCATCATCGACAGTCTGACGTCCATCAACACGCTTGCGGCAGGCGGGTACATTGTCCTCTCGCTCTTCTACTATGCAATGGTACGCTTCAACGTCGCCACTTTTCGTGTCTTAAAACGTGCGCTAGACCACGCTGCAGGCCCAAGCTCGGACGCTGCCGATCATGATCTCGTTTCTTATTGGCGCATGGCTCGTCGGCGTGCCGATGGCTTATGTGTTTGCTTTTCCGCTGCACCACCAGCTCTTCGGCGTGTGGCTTGGCATGAGTCTTGGTTATCTCGTCACGACAGCGTTCGGCGTCTACTATACGGTCAGGTCCAATTGGCCCGACGAAGCCCATAAGGCTGTCGCGCGGAGCAAAACCAAAGACAGCGACGAGTCCGAACCGTTCCTATCCGACCTCGAAGCCACAAAAGTGCGCGAGGAGCCTCGCCCCGTCGAGCCCACCGCGCCCAATTGGGACGCCTGATACTCTCTTGGCAGAGAGGCCAGAGACGGTAGTTTGGTGCGTCCAATACCAATTCTTTCGTTCTAGGTGTAAACCAACCAAAGTAGCTCATGACACGATGACTTGGCCGATTTCAGAGCACCGAGAGAAGGTGCCAATGGGACATAAACACGATAGCTCCCAGCGCATTGGTCACGTCACGGGCGAGAGGGGGCACATTGCGTGTCGCGACCGCTCGCATGCATGCCCGCATGGGAGGTCGTCTTCGCTTCAACGCCACTTGATTATTGCGACAGAGCAAGACCTTGTTGCCATCGCTCGCACGAAGTGTCCTTAGCACGAATCATTCCGATGTCCATCACGACCAACGCTCCGTGAGCCTTTCTTTCACGGGTTTTCTGTCCATGCACGCGAGTGCTACTCGCTGAAATAGCAGACAGTCCATTGCATATTTCTCTCGCACGATGGCAGAGTTCTCGGCGCGGCACGAAGCCACGGCCCTTGCGCGCCTCGCGACGCCGATCCTCTTTTCGAACCTCGCGATGTTTGGCATGTCGATGGCCGTCTTGATGGCGGCGGGGCACCTCGGGTCGGCGCAGCTCACGGCGGTCGCGTACGCCCAAATGCTCTTTGATATTACGATTCTCGTTTTCGCGTCCGGCTTCATTTCGGGGCAGGCGGCGCTGTCGGCCCAAGCCTTTGGTGCCGGCAACCTCGCGCTCGTCGGCCGCTACTGCCAAATGAACTGCGTCTGCATCACGCTGGCCTGCATTCCGATCGGCATTCTCTGGTGGTTTACCGGCGACTTTTTACGCGCCGGTGGCATCTCGGACGACACCGTGCGCTATGCGCAAGAGTACTCGCACTATTCAACGCCGTGGCTCCTCCCGCGCCTTCTCTTCCAAGTCCTTAGCGTCTACTTCAAGTCGATGCAAAACGTGCTTCCGGCAGCGATCTTTGCCGTGGCCTTTACCGTGCTGCACGCTGGTCTTGTTGTCGTCTTGGTCTTTGGGCTTCCGTCGACAAGCTTTGCCGGCTACGGTCTTCTTGGCGCACCGCTTGCGCTGACGCTGACGCACTACGGCCGCACGATCGCGTATGTTGCCTACATGTTTGGGTACAAGAAGCACCATGCCTCGTCGTGGAACTGGGCGATGCGCGGTCTGAGCCCGCGGCTCTACTTGATGCCAATGCTGCGCGTCGGGGGCCGCTCGCCCTCGGCATGCTCGTTGAGAATCTCCAGCTCCAAACCATGGCGGTGTTTGCGGCCATGACGAGCGAGGTCGACCTTGGCGCCAACAACTCGATGCTCAACCTCATCTTCTTCCTCACGTCGCCTATCTTTGGTATGATGGACGGCGGCGCGACGCGGATCGCCATGCATTTGGGTGCCGGGCATGCGCACGCCGCGCGAGCCACGAGCCACTTGGTCTTTTACGGTATTTTCGGCATCTGCATCCTCATCGTGGTGCCGTGGCTCTGTGCGCGGTCCTCGATCGGCCGCATCTTTTCGTCCGACGAGACTGTCGTCCAGAGCATGACAACCATTAGCACCTTGGCCGCCGCGGGTTATATCATCATGTCGCTCTTCTACTACGCCATGGTTGAACGACGCGATGATAAGACGACGGTTTGCTCATCGATATGATTAGGCGACGCTGCAAGCACAGGCCCGAACACTCCCCATCATGGTCTCGTTCCTTGTCGGCGCTTGGATCGTCGGCGTGCCGCTGGCGTACGTTTTGGATTTTCCCGTCGACCTCGGTCTCCTCGGCATCTGGATCGGCATGTCCGTTGGCTACATCGTCACGACGGTGCTCGGCGTCTACTTTACGTTCAAATCGGATTGGCCCGAAGAGGCCAAGAAAGCTGTCGAGCGAAGCGCCATCAAATGCAATCGGCTGGAACCCGCAGCGCTAGAGGAAGGCTACGCTGGCATCGCCGACAGTCCCGTCGATGTGACGAGCAAAGAGCCATGAGCACGTCGGACTGAACCAATGCGATCACGAAGGCACTTTTGTCTCGTCTTGCGGCGATGTATCAAGGGGAAATCGGTAATCAAAGGAGGAGGAGGCGCGTGTGATGCATCGGAAAACTTCCTCTATTTGAATTTACGCGGCTTTTTGCTCGAGTTCCCACTCCTGGCACTCGGCCCAATGGCGGATCCAAACGCAGTTGGGACAACTTGAACCACAGCACTGGTCTCCTGGCGGCTCGGGCGCAGGCTGCAGCGCATTGGGATCGGCGAGCACGATATCCGCACCGGAGAACCAAGGCTTCTCGAGGCTGTGCGGGATTTGCAGTCGGTACGGTGTCGACGCATCCTTGACGTCGTGCAAGATAACCTTGGCGACATCTCCTGCTGCGAGACCATGGCGCTCAGCTACACCAGGTGCCAGAACGACTAGGTCGCGCAGCTTGGGCGCGCGGGTCGAGAAGGCACGTTCGAACCGTCGCAGCAGCATCAGCGCTCTGCGGCGTCGATTTTCGAGTTGGGCGCGAGTCTGAACATCACTTTTTTGGGGCCCCCCACCTTGGTCCGAGCATTTAAAAAATGAGAAATAATCCCAACATGTTTTTATTATGGAATACAATGAATCTCGGTGTCTGCATGTGGTGCACCTCGATCACTTTGGCAGAGGAAGCGCGTCGAACATCACTTGCAGCCTGCAAGTGATGTTCGACCTGCAGGTCGACTTGCTACATCTATACTGTTCCGCATATTCTTTACGAGCCCGTGCAAGCCCGTTTAAGTAGGAGATCAGGATGGATGACATGCGCAGAGCTTCATTTATCGTACCGGTATGATCACTCAATGCGTATTGACGGGCTCATTTTACAACTATAGTACAAGTTTGTGCCTACTCCAGCCCAGTGTATTTCGCTTCTATTTCTGGTCATGCACACTGATGTTCACAGCAGCAATGCCGGGAAGAAAAGATCGAGCTGTGCACCTAGAATCTGCAAGCGCTGGCGGCGCTTGCCTCGCCCCAGATGCGCGAGACGGGCCACTTCCTCGATGGCGACAGGAAGCACCCGACCAGATACTGCATTCATGATATCATGCTAGTCACTGTCGTCGTAAACCCAAAACAATGTATGCAGTCTATTTCAAGCCATGGGATAGGGCAATAATGCATGCGCGTTGGACGGATTTGACTGGCCAAACACACGACCAATGGCAGGAGGTCCTGGGCAGTGACTGCTGGCGCCTCAAATTACGCCTTTCCCAGCTACCACGCAAGTTACGGATGGCCTGTGGAAAGACGGTGACGGTGGTGGCTGGCACTTGGGCTTTCTTATTGCTGTTCGCAGTAGCCGTACCTTAATACCGGTATGACCTTCTCCGCGACAAGCGAGGTCAAAGCGCTCGCGCGCCTCGCGACGCCGATCCTCTTTTCGAACCTCGCCATGTTTGGCATGTCGATGACCGTCCTCGTTGCCGCGGGCCACCTCGGCGCTGCGCAGCTCACGGCCGTTGCGTACTCGCAGATGATCTTTGACATTACGATCCTCATCTTTGCTTCGGGCTTCGTCGTCGGACAAGCGTCGCTCTCGGCGCAAGCGTTTGGCGCCAAGAACCTCACGCTCATCGGCCGCTACTGCCAAATGAACTGCCTCTGCGTCACGCTCGCGTGCATCCCGATCGGCGCGCTCTGGTGGTTTTGCGGCGACATTCTCCATGCAGCGGGTATCTCGGACGCGACGGTCGTGCACGCCAAGGACTACGCGCACTACTCGATGCCGTGGCTCCTTCCGCGCCTCCTCTTCCAAGTCCTCAGCGTCTACTTCAAGTCGATGCAAAACGTGCTTCCGGCAGCGATTTTTGCCGTGACGTTTACCATCCTCAACGCCGGTCTCGTCTCTGTGCTCGTCTTCGGTCTCTCGTCGACGGGCTTTGAAGGCTACGGCCTCATTGGCGCCCCGATCGCGATGACCATCACGCACTACAGCCGCCTCGTCACGTTCGCGCTCTACATGTTTGCGTACCGCAAGCAGCACGCGTCGTCGTGGAGTTGGGATCGCACCTTCATGAACCGACAGCTGTACCTCAAGCCGATGCTCAAGGTGGGCGGCCCCATGGTCATCGGCCAGCTCGTCGAGAACCTCCAGCTCCAGACCATGTCGATCTTTGCGGCCATGACGAGCGAGGTCGCACTTGGCGCCAGCAACTCGATGATGGAGCTCATCTTCTTCCTCACGTCGCCCATCTATGGCATGATCGACGGCGGCTCGACGCGCATCGGCATGTACCTCGGCGCGGGCAAGCCCCAAGCCGCCAAAGCCACGAGCCACTTGGTGTTTTATGGTATTTTTGGTCTCTCGGTGGTCATCGTGATCCCGTGGCTGTGCGCGCGCTCGCACGTTGGCAAGATCTTCTCCACGGACGTCGCCGTCGTCAGTAGCATGGCGTCCATTAGCACGCTCGCCGCTGCGGGCTACATCATCCTCTCGCTCTTCTACTACGCGATGGTGCGTCGCTCACGTTTCGTCTCCGCGCAGGTTTTGCTCACTCCTAACTTGTCACGTAGGCGACGCTGCAAGCGCAGGCGCGGACACTGCCCATCATGACCTCGTTCTTCATTGGCGCATGGGTCGTTGGCGTTCCCGGCGCGTACGCCTTTGGCTTCCCTGCCGGCCTTGGCCTTCTCGGTATTTGGGTTGGCATGTCCGTGGGGTACATTGTCACTACCGTCCTCGGCGTCTACTTTACGTACAAGTCCAACTGGCCCGAGGAGGCCAAGAAGGCCGTCGAGCGAAGCAAGGGGCGCGACGACGGCGATCACTTGGTGGTGGAGCTCGAGCAAAACCGACGCGCCAGCGTTGACGCTGGTTTCAACACTATGGTGACGCCCAAGGAATGAATGTTTTGTTCTTGAGAGAGGCCGTTGTACATCTTTGCAGAGCACCGTTCGCATCATGAGGTCAGCTGATAAGCCCGAAAAACAAACTCTTGTGTCCATAGAGGAGACCAAAGCCGCTGCACGTGCTACGGACGAGAGATTCTGGAGAAACGATGGCGTGACTCACTCTTATCAACGGAGAGAATGACGAGACGGCTGTAAATGTGGCAGTACGTGGTTAAGCGTGGCGTACAGCACAAATAAATGTTTGGTGGGGCGTAGCTTCCGCTGTATGCTTTACCTGTCGACTTAGCATAGCATGCCGCGCCCTCCAAAGTACCCTCTACCACTGTGCCAAGAATGAGCAATTCCGTTTTGGAAAGCAATTTGTGCGATCACGCGGCACGAAGTTGGCGCCGTGGATATAAATATGGTACAAAATGGTTATGTATGGCTATTACCACCAATAAATATACGACAATGCGTAACTCCAGCTCTGGGGCTTCAACGTCGACGCCGCGTAGCATTCCGTACCCTCCAAAGTGTCCTCTACTATTGTGCCGAGTTTCAGCGATTCCATTTTTGACGACGTTCAGGGTGATCGCGCGGCCTGGCGTCCAGGTCGACAAACTAGTGTCTCATTGTCTGATATGCGATTGGTCAAAAATATTTATAAAATGGCCAATAGCAAGATATCCTCGTATGCGCTTCTCAAGTTCGGTGCCCTGCTGCACAGCGTCCCCATGAGCCGACAATCGACAGATACGTGAGGAGCTCCATTGCGTCAAAGCAACATTCTTCACGAGCATGCTAACATTCGCAAAGCGATTTTTTCTGAACCTCGTCGTTCGAGTGCTTAAGCGCCGTAGCAGTAGCAACGAACCGGTGCGCGATTCATCGGAGTGGGCGTGGTCACTTGTAGATCTTGAGCATAGGGTGTTTCGCAGTCTGGCTGAGGCTGCCGAGGGCTTCGTGGGCCTGCCGAGGGCTTCGTGGGCCTGCCGACGCACACAAGTACCTTGATCGTGATCGACGAAAAGCCATGAAGCCGTGTCAGACGCATTTCGTCGTCGCACGCTTTAATTGAGAAGAAGATCAAGCCGCTTGCAATATGCAACAATCGTGTAACCCAAGGCACTTCCCCGTTGAGAGGTATGCTCCGGTCGACATGTGTGGCTGCAGGTTGTGCACCAATTGAACTAACGTTAGAGTGTTTTTGTTCCACGCGCGAATTGCACGCACGGGCACGCAGTGTGGCATCGCGCGCGGCGTATTCGTTGGAAACTCTGGCGAAATGGAGTGATACGACCCGTCTTGAAACACGGGACATCAACTATAGACTCGCAATAGGGACAAGAATTTGATGTTGCTCCGGTCCTACTTGGTACGGAGACTGCGAGACCAGATATGTTGGTACATAGGGTGCGTGATTCTAGTCAAATATCGGATAACACGCATGATATCCGGACATTCCATCAAGATGGCGGGCGGGCGGACCGGCAGCCGTGCGAAGAAGCGCAAGACCCGTGCGGCCGTACCGCTCTACACGCCACCGGCCAAGCAAGGGCCGAAGGAGGTCGCTGATGGCAAGGAGCAACCTCCACCAGCAAAGAAGTCCAAGGCTGGGCCGAAGAACCCCAGCGCCGCGCTGGTCGTCGCGCCGGTCAAGCTGCCGCCAACGCCCGCTCCAGAGACGAACCCGCCAGTCGAGATCTCGTCCGGTCCAGGCGAAGCAGGCGCCAAGAAGAAAAAGAAGAAGAAGAAGGCCAAGAACAAGGCTG